TAGACAACGCCCTCTTACAAGCACACCGGCGCCAACCTCACCCTGGTCCCAACAATTTGAAGCTTTCTTTGGAATTTGGGTTTACGCCGCCAATTTGCACCACAACCGCTTGGAGCACTGCATTCAACGCAACCAACAATTACTTCTCCATCCGTACCTTAGATTTATTAGTGTCGAGGCACCCACATTTCCGAAACATTTGTACACCATCTCGCCCACTTTATAACAACCAAGCAATCCTCGCGCTTCTCGGCTTGATTTTCTACCCCTCGTCGAACATTATTTGTTAACGCATCTCGATTCGGTATGTTCACACTGCTCCTGTCATCTTGCACTTTCGTTCCCATGTGGCACCTCTCCTAGTTGTGGTTGAAAGTTAAGGCGGAGATTGATCTGCGGTCGTCGCATGTACCCTTTGCGCATGTCTCAGATTGTTGAAGCTATAAACAAGTGTTTTTTCACAGACAATTCCAGCCCATACCCTACACGCTTCACACGCCTGTTGAATAGTCACGCTCTAAATAGGAATCATCCAACCCTGAGACCTTCTTTAGTCATGAACTCTGCAGTTGTCGCCTTACAAGTAAAACTAACACAAGTATTCTTAAGATAATCCTTGTATTTCGACACTTACGGCGGCAATTGCATGCCATTGGAGATCACATCGAATTACACTGCCCACATTTCAGAAACTGCCAAGGCGCCTCTGGTGAACTTGTCCAACATCCAACGTCACCCGACTGTCTGAATGAGCCACGATTGAGGCTCGATTGGAGTCGACGTGGTAGGAGGGCGGGATTACAAGAGTCTAACTGTACCAGTCCGCGAGACGTGGTAATCCTTGTTGTTCAAAAACATTCAACCATCTTTCAATCCATCCTACCAACTAGCTAGGATGGAGACCTATAACGGCTATGTGCGGACACCCGCAGATGCCATCAAGCTATTCGAAGCATGCAGGCTCGGCCTTCTGCCTCGAGTCCAACGGAGGTTATCGGAAAAGGAGCGACAGTCTATCAGATCCGGTTCTATATTTGTTTGGGACGAACGGGAAGCCGGCATGCGACGTTGGACTGATGGCAAATCTTGGAGCGCAAGTCGAGTTTCTGGCAGCTTTCTCACATATCGGGAAATGGAAGGGAAGCGAGGAAGCGGCTTCGGAAGCACTCGCCGGACCAATGGACGCTCCCCTGACAGTGGTCGGCTCAGCGATGACGACCAAGACGGCGAGCCAGAAGGTTACCGTTATAAGACGGATGGGCTTATGAAGCAGTCCTTCAGCATCACAACATCGCAAGGTCAACATCTGCATCTAATCTCATATTATGCTCGACAGCACCCTGGAGCCCCAGAGCTTCCTCAACCGAGCACTGATCCTCAACTACGGCATATCATGCCCGTTAAAGGCATGTATCCCGAGTCGAGCATGCATGACGCTTCCCCCCCAGCCTTGACGAGAACGCCCATGCAACCATACAGCAACTCTGCTGGGCCACCACCACAAGATCAGGGCGCGTACGGGTACTGGGCAGCCCCAGCTTGGATGGGCCCATGGCCTCCCTCACCAAACCACACTCCTCCCTCCTGGGTCAACGGCAGGCTTGAGCCTGAATCAAATCCTCATGCTCACCAGCCCTCTCTACCACACAGACCGCCGCCGCCGCCGCAATTGCCGGCGTCCGGGCCAGCAAACCATTCTCCCATCTATGAGCGGTTACCAGGGCCTGCTACATATCAAATGACTGACCGAAACTCGAGCTTATCTCCTCGGTCGCATCAGCTACAGGTACAAGCCGCCCAGGCCGTCATGACCAGTGTGCGCAACCCTCAAGGTCCCCTGCCGGCCATGGCAGCCTCAAGCCGCGGTCCCACTCCTCCTAGAACAAACTCTCTCTCGCCACCCAGGGCATCTAGCTCGGACGGCTTCAATAGTACCTCAGCCCGAAAGGCAAGCCTGTCAAGCATCCTCTTACACCCCACACCCAGCAACTCCGAGCCCAACAGCGCCAATCCGGCGAGCAACAGTAGTGCTAGCAGCTCACCACGAGCTCTTGCAGCTGCTGCGCACGAGATGTCGGCGGACGTAAAAGCACTTCGGTCGCTCGACCGTAAGTTTTGCATTTAGACAGCCTTCTATCAAAGGAGCATCGTTTAGGCGTTCACGGAAAACAAGAAAAGGGCGGGCTACGCGGCTGGGATCGGAGATGATGGGCAATCGGAATGGCGCGGCGTTTGTATTTCATTGTGGTGCATCTGCAGAGACATTGCTTTGGCTGGCAAGGGAACGGAGTTACGGGCAGGGAAATCCCACAATGGTTTGATTGTACTGTCGGGAGACACTAGGGGTTTTGCCTGTAAATATTTTTCTCTGCATCACAGATACCAACCCTTGGAAGAGGGAACTGGCTTGATTCACTTCAGCCGCAGCGCTATAATCAAGCTGTTTAACTATTTTGGCATTGCTCAAATCTGACCTAGATGCCTGTATCGTGACCTCAGAGCAGAACCTCGAGTACCTAGTACTACGTCCCTTTACTTGGCATAACAGATGCTCATGATCACCTAATGAATTACAGTAGAACTATGGGAGACCCCTACGCCGATCCTCAATTGAGAGCTCTTTTTTTTGGATGCTCCCTCAGTTCGTCTGCCTTTCGGCTGCCGCTGCGGGTGCTGCAAGGCTCATGCAAAGTGCAGGGTCTAACGCATGCACAATCCTTCCTCTTATGAATCCTTTAAACTTAACCTAGCTAATAACGATTGGGTGAATTCCCACCGTCTTGGACAGTCCGCCCCGATAGGAACATGGTATGCCTGACTAGCTTATTAGTAGGTAAACCCGTTAATCGCTTCTTTTGTCTGTCCCTGAATAGACAAGACCTTTCATTCGGGATATATCTCCCCTTAATAATCCGGCTGTCAACTCAAATATCCTGTCGGGCAAGCGAGAAAATGAGGACTGGGTGGGCATTATAGCATATAGTTAATTAACTAGTGTCCGATCTAATTGGAAGGGCTACTCATCATATGACTGCTTTATTATCTGTTGTTCACTATAGCAAGCAGTTCCAAGTCCTATCTATTTTACTAGTGGTCGGTCCCGAATACGTGAAGCAGTAGGTACACACTATAATGGGCCAGTTCTAGCAACAACATGAACGGACGGACGAACGAACGAGTCAAACCTTAACCCCGACCCCGAACCTAGCCAGCCGGCACACAAGGAGAAGATAGGCGCTTGCTTGCGTGCTGGCAGGCAAATATCCTGTACGCGAAGTTATCTTCATCCCTTCCTTGTCCTCATAGGACCAATCCTTTTGCTCTCCTCGTCTCTTTCGCCTCTCAACCCCCGTTCCCGTTCCGTCCCGCGCTCATTCATTCCTCTTTCACACGACGTTGATGGGGAGGAATGTGAGGGGTTGCGAATAGAGATGAAAGGAGGGCGTACCATACCGGTAGGTATATTGAGTTTGCCTTAGGTATTCTCATCACTGCAGTGCTACGTGATACATGCTACATACCTAAATCCTTGTAGACGAGATGCACGTCTGGAATTCAGGTATCTTGCTTGTCTCGGCTCTCTTGAGTCAAGGTTGCTGACGTCAAAGGCACATTTGCTACGCCACATACTTGCCTCGGTTAATAGGTATATCAAAGGGCACCTATTGCGACACCGAGCACAAGCATACAACTTGCAGCTACATTAGTAAACTCACCAAGTTCCGAGGCTTCTCTGTTTTACAGGAGCGCCGGGCATCTGCTCATGTTCCATGGTTCATAACGTAGGAGGGCTGTGTAGGCGTTTCACACCTTGAACTGTGCCGCACACTTCACCTATTTAGTTCACTTACAGTATGCGCATGTCCGCGGTGAGGGATTGTTTTGAATTCTATCTTATACTTAGTCAGGATCAGGCACCTTACTCTTACTGGTCTACCTGGTCGACATTCCTACTCACTAGCTATCACCTCGCCTAGGTACGCTAGGACTGTGGCATAGTGATGACAAAGCTAGCTTTAAAGGGGACCGGCTATTAAGCTCCGGCAAAGATGGGATTTGAAGCTATCGTGAAAGGACTGAATTCGCCACTTCCTCCCCATCACTTCGCCTCGCATCTTATCTGTCTGTGTGTGGCTATAAAGATCTAGGCGCCAAGCTGTTTCGCGCCAAGCCCCTACTATACTAAACAATGTCTTTTTATCACGCCTTTGAGCACAAGCTGAATGCTAACCCACTCGAGCTGGGAAGCGGCTCGCAGAGATCGGCAGATCTAGCTAGGTTCAGCAGAAGAGGCTTCTTTCCGTGCAACCCTTCACTCCGGCAAACGGCCAGCTGTCCGAACAAGCTTAAAAGTACCTAAGGAGAGCATGCATGGACATGTACTGTACGTAGTATACCTACCTCCCTCGCGATCTACAGACGGAAGCTGTATCTAGATAGTATACTTGCATGATCCTGTAGAAGCACTTATTAAGCAGACTAAGCCTAATTCTGTTATTTCCAATTTGTGCATGAGCATACACACATACAGACATACATACTTACATACATCAGACTTTCCGGCAGGCAAGCTGCACGTTTTATGTCTAACCGGCCGGGCCGGCATCTGCCTAGCATGTATGCACCTCAAGCCTCTGTTCCTTCTCGCATTCTCAAACCGGGCTTTCGTGCATGTGTACAACATATACCTATATGTAGCCCTATGTATAGTACACTGGGTTAAGGACTTAAGCTTTTTTTCGCTTACTTTTAACCTCGGGTAATCAAGAAGCTACTCACTCACTCACTATACTATACCCCCCACCCAGTCTAGTATAGAGGTAGATTACCCCCCGGCCCCCAGGACGGAATTGAAGGACTAACTTATGCATGCGTTGTGAAGAAAGATTCAAGCACAGGAGAGCAGATCCCTAGCGTCGACACTAAGCTGAGACGTGTGTGTGCTTTTATGCGAAAGACTCAGTGAAGAGATAGACTAAAAAACTTGAACTTCATTCACTCTCCCCCGGACAGGCTTGAACTGTCAACCTCTCGATTACCTGCTTTTTTTCATTCATAACAGTCGAACGCGCTAGCCAATTGCGCCACGGAGGAATTGTCGTAAGCACATATACCGAGAGTCTTTTACATCGCTAAGGATGGACGGCTGCAGTAAGAATCGATCGTGAGGTACGACGGCAGTATGCTAGATCGTGCGGGTGTCCGAGTAAGGCATGAATTTGGTGGGGTTTGCAGGTTTGCAGGTTTCTCGCGAAAAGCCTCCTTGAGATTAGGTTCAATAGAGTCTAGTGTAATGTCCACGCTGCTGCTATGGCTTCCAAGGGAAGCGCAGCGTCCTGAATACAGCATCCGTAGTAAGGAACAAAAGCCATATCCTATATTTGACATTCGCACAAGATTACCATGCAGATTCATCAATAGCAGGGGGGAAACGCCATATTTCTATGGGTGGGCATGCGGCGGCAGGCGAGAATGAACGAATGGAAATGACAAAAATCTCTATGCAAATCGGGAACCGAGATCTGTAGCAAGCTTGTTTTCGACGACTCTGCAGCTGCGCACCACGCCGTTTAACAAAAGTACATCTGAGATAAGTGAACTGGCCAATCGTATTTAGGATTCGCAATACGAATCCCGGGATAAGGCTGCAGAACGTGGCTTCGCGTGCCGGAAGCCAGACTTATAGGAACGGTTTTATTCCTTTTCAGCTTGCCTGCCGCGTGGCGGTTCAGTCGAAAACAACAAAATAAGCAATTGAGAGAGAAAAAAACGTGGGGTGTCGGTCACATTGCATTGCAGCACAGCGGATGGTGCCGCGCGCTCTGTTCCGCGAAGGGACGCCATATAGATTGGCGATCACTTCCATTTGGAGGTTTGGGGCTTAAGCCTCTTTTCTCTGCTGCGTAGCCCGTGTCGTGCGGGATTCCTCTGGACAACAGCTCAAGCAAGGGTTGGCAACCGACGCAAGCCACAAGCAGTATGATATAATAATACATGAAGAAGGCCTTTGTTGTCACGCATGCCTCTTTTTGCGTCTTTTTCGGCTTGGCTCAAAATGCTGACGCCACGTCTTTTGCTGTTCTGCCATACACATGCGATGTTTAGCGAGAGCCAAGACCGAGCTACACTGTAGTTCTGACTATATCAAAGCTCGCTAAGTATAGTGGATGTAGACTCCGGAGCACGTACGTATTGCGATGCCAGATAGTTTCGCGCTCGCGCTTTCAATAATCTTCCGAAAAAATAGAGACTGGTGTTTGCCAAGACTTCATCATTCCTCTTTCAAGAACAAAAACGTTGATGTGCCAGTGGAGCGACTAATAACAGTAGGACAACCCCGTTGCATTCCGAGGTTGCCGCCGGCCGGCAATACCGACGTATCTGCGGCACGTCTAATAAACTATAGTTTAAGGTGTGCATATACTTCGCCTATTACGCAGTTTAAGGTGCGATCTCACCTGATTATCAATAAGCTTATTAATAGCTTATTGAGTCTAAGCGCATGTGGTAACACGGACATACTAGTGGCGTGAGAGAAACAATGAGGCGCACGGAGGCTTGGCTAGCCTCGACTAGCCCTCCCAGCACTCTGGATTATCTCCGAAAGAGCATTAGGATGTTTTCAAGCCGTTGTAGCGCATAGCACTGTTTCTTCGTGTTGGCCGTGAGTGGACCAGCTAGAAACTAGACAGAAGGGAGGACCTTGTGGAACCTGCCGGAGATTGGGGTTTGTATCGGTTTCGTAATCCATTATGACTGTTTGGACGTGGAAGAAAGCATGAAGGGGTAAGTGAAAATATTGCTCGTAGGAGACTGGGCAAGGAAATGTGGATATGTATATATAGTATGGAATATCATCAAGGGCACACAGCCAAGCAGCCATGATTTCCACCAGAGATTATCTACTTCTCTATGCCGCTAGTGAACACAATGATGGTGATATCAAGGCTTGCTATCTAGTCCAAGTGAGAGGGTAATGGACGAGGAGATATGATCAAATGAGGTGCAAAACCTTGGAAGGTTATCGTCCCCTATGGAAGAGGGAAGACGATTTAGAGTTATCGACAAGCTTCCTTTCCCTGCGGACGATCATCCTCGGGGCTCCTTTCACTGGCTAGGATAGTTTCGTCCGGAGTCCGTGGACTTTGTCGGTTTCAACTCTGTGGAGAGAGTCCGAGAGACTGGGGAATGAATGTAAAACGCCGATTTCTGCGCCGGTGAATTAGTATGCCACTAGGGATTCCCACAATGCTTAGCCTAATCGTTTAGGTTGTAGGACGATGTCGTCTAGTATCGATTTAAACCCAATCAATGCCTAGTGTTAGAAACTCTAAATAAGATCTTACCATGTTTTAGCCCAAGAATCGGTACCTTGACTGATCATGTGCTCCTATACTAGAAACACTTCGTTCAATATTGAAAAGTCTTGTGTCTGTTGGCTGGCCGCAATGACAAGGAGACACGTTGCTAGCTGTTTTCGCCAAGATGGAGTAAGTTTACCATACACGTGTAGAAGAAGTCATGGGGTCACACAAGAGTCTCATAGTTCAGCGCCACAGGAAACTACGATGTTTGCACACACCCTCTAGTAGAGTGCTTTGTGCGACACCATGAGAACTTGTGGCTGACCAAGACTATTATAGTTCCTTGGCTGTTAACCAGTACCAATAGTTTAGGACCACTGCATAATTATATTGTAGCATGATTACAGGCTTGGTTTGTATGCTAGATAATTTCTGACAGAACCTTCAGCCCCTCAAAGGTTGTGGTGTTCATCCCAGCCTTGCGACCACTCTCTCTATTCGAACAGTCTTACATATTTGCCAATGTGACCTGACGAAAGATCTAGAGAAATCTTTTGGAAAAAGAACACCGAATTTGCTCCCTGGTGTAACTCTATATTCACCACTATACGTCCATGCCAAATACCAGAAGGTAATCCCTTTCCTTTACTCCGAAATTGCCCGTGGCCTCTCCAGGTCATCGACTCATCATGACAACACTTTGAGTTGTAGATTCGCAAGCGCCGAGGAAGTATCCACGAGCTGTGGTGCTATTAAGCGGACATATAATAGAGGATAGGTTTGAATCCTATTAGCGCTAGCATGTCTCGGTTGCCCTCTTTATCCCCACGACATACATACCGGAAAATATGTGTAAAGCTATAGCCTTACCATCTACTTCACAATAACCAGACGCCACGGTTTGGTAGTCGGCTTTCGGCGTTGGCAAGGATTGGAGAGTGCAGAGCCATATACTATAGACTTGAGGACTAGAAGGCTACTTAACCGGAATCCAATGTCATATGATGCATAAACTTATAACCCAGCTGAAGGCTTCAGCAACAATAATGCGGTACGCGTGTACATCGGGCTGTTGTGGAGAACCAGTTGTTGTTTCAGACTAGGTTCGCTCTATAATTAAGCTTGTAAGACCTCGTGGCGAGCTAGCTAAAATCGCGCAATAGAGCGATCGATCTAGAGCAGTGGTTGTATAGCTCTACACTATGTGCGTGTGTCTTTTATGGCGACGCCACGTAACCTCGATCTAGGCTCGTGAAGCTGAGACGCTGTGGCGGTGGTAGAGAACAAGACTTGGCTAATGCAACCCATCCGGCAGGCAAAAGGAAAAGTATTATCCAGTCGGCCGGCAGCGGCCTTCGGAGATATCAGCTTTTCCGTTTCTCCACGTCCCAGCCAGAAGGATGCCGGCCGCCGGATCACATGGCTATTGGCAACTACGTCTATGTAGTCTCAACGCCAGGAAGATGCCATATACTTCCTGACTCGCCACCACTTTGACCAGGTTTCCCACTTTGGACCATGAGGTTGAGCAGCTAGCCTCAAGTACTGTACATATACATTCGTGCGGACCAATAGTAAGTTCGGTTGATCTGAAACTGACCTTGAGTCTTCTACAATCACACCCCATGCTACACGAGCCTCATGATAAACCCCCCACACTATAAACATCACCCTCGGGCTGTGCGTGAACACGTGGAGGTCCCTGACGATCGGTCACCTCGACCAGCCGCACGGACGAACATGGCTAAACCACTAGGCTGGCCTATGCAAGAACCTTTCTCCTGTATACTTACACCGACGGCTTTACTGCCTGTCCGATTCTTTGTAAGTTCGATAAGAAGTCTGCCTTGTTTCCACCTAGGAAGGAAGAAAAAGGGAGTAGACGAAGGACTACTTAGCGTCATAACATGCTCACGCGGTGCCGTCGTTACATGCAGATTTGGGCACCTGGTATGATGTACTGTTTTATAAACTATCCTGAATAAGCATACAATATCACTACTCGTCGTGGCAAGCCACCTGGTCTAATAGCACTGGAGTTTTAACCGAGCGTGTGTAACATAGAGCGAGCATACTAAGGTAGAAGGTTATATAATTACGAACTTATTTAATACTCTGACTATGTTCCCGGGTGAAGCTCATAACATATATTTACAAATGTAATCGTGATATCTATACCTAAATTTTTCGTAAGAGTTACAATCTCAAGAGACTTAAAACAGAGACCCGGTGTTCGGGAATTTCAGGGAACTAAAACCGCAAGAGTATTTTCCTGACATGTGAAGTAATGGAGACTAGGCTTACGGTTAAGCTGAATATATATTTATACCAGTTACTTAAAGTGTATGAGGGATTTTCTCATTTTATATAAAGACTCGATACGCGATGCTATTAGTGTGACAAATATTTGTAAGTCGAAAAGGTGCGTAAGCCACTTGGTACCACGAGAGGAGCGGTTACTGCGTCTGGAGTGGGATCTTCAATGGCGTGGAGATGCACCTGTGGCTCACGGAGCAGCGCACTGAGACCTTGGATAAATATGGCGTGGAAATGGCACTGATCGGTGAGCTGCTGGTCACCCCGCGCGACGATTGATTGATTTTACGCTATTCACGGCCGAGAACTCGAACTGGACCGTTTAAGCGGCACGAAATACGGCGGCATACGCTGCTGGAGCTCAAGCGCGCCATAGCGCTTGCGCAGAGAGGATATGGTCACGGGCATGGGGCGTTTCCCCGAGAACCACGATAACACGGAAAGCGTCGACTATTTCGGGCCTCGTGACGTGGA